TGCTGTATTAATTGTGGATTCTTGTCACTCATCTTTCAGTTTTCAGTTCCTAGAAATCACTAATGGAATGGGTGGTGCTTGGTGGCTGCAGGGGATATAAGCTGATGTTTTAATAAATAGTCCTGCCTATCCTGTTACTCTAATGAAAAAAGATGTGGGAAATACAGCTTTTGCTGTTAGAAGCAGACAAGTTCTTTTGCTGTGTTCTATATGCAGAGCTGTTCTTTTCAATGCTGCGTTACATTGGACTTTTGTCAGGCAACAAAATTATATTTATAAAAACCAAAGGGTTGGCTTCATCAAAACCAAAATTTCACATGATCAAGGACATCATCAAGAAAGTAAAATAACAATACAGAGAATGGAAAGCATTTCCAAATGCTATATCTTGAAAACCTTTGGAATATGGAAGGAGATGTTACAAATCATAAATTAAAAGATATTAACCCCATTGAAAAACAGGCAGGGGCTGATGCTTTGGCACAGTGGGATAAGCCACTGCTGCTTATACTGCCACCATCCAATACTGGAGTGCTAGTTCAAACCTTGGCTACTGTGCTTCCAGTTGAACTCCTTGCTTACCAGTACACCTGGGAAGGCGGTGCAAGAGATCCAAATGCTTGGGCCCCAGCCACCCACATGGGATACCAGAATGTAAACCATTTCTCCTAGCTGTGTTGGCATTTGGCCAATGAACCAGCACATGAAGCACACACACATTCTTGCTCTCTTTTTTGTCCCTTCATCTGTCTATTTCAAATAAATATATACATTTTTAAGTGAACAAATAATTTGAATATAGCTCACTGTAAAGAAGATATTATAGGTGGCTTTGGCCTGGTTCAGCCCTGGCCACTGGGGCTTTCTGGGATGTGAACTAGCCAAAGGGATATATCCGTCTCTATTTATAACCAACTTTTGAGTAAACAAGCAATAATAACACACACAAAAAATTGATACACTAGCATTGTGATTATGATGTAGCTTATAATGCCACCATCCAATATTGGAGTGTCAATTCAAGTCCCAGTTGCTCTGCTTCTAATCCAGTTTCCTGTTAATGTGCCTGGAAAAGCAGTGGAAGATGGTCCAAGTCCTTGGGCCTTTGCCACCTATGTGGAAGACCCAGGTGGAGTTCCTTGTATCTGGTTTTGCTGTGGCCCCTTGGGGAATCAATCAGTAGATGGGAGATCTCTCCCTCTGTCCCTCCCTTCTCTCTCTGCCATTCAAATATACAAAAGTGAATCTTTTTTTTTTTTAATGAGGCACACTTTACACTTTCTAGAAAGAGTATAACTTTTATAAAAGGGAAGAAAAGTTTTGGTGAGGATGCAGGGAGATGAAAATGTGAAATGTTGCAGCTGCAGTGGAACACCGTGGGGCAGTTCCTCAAGAAGCTGAGTAGTTATCATTGCAAGCCTCAGCCATCGCAGTCTCAGCTTCACAGCCAAGGAAACTGAAACATGCACAGCAGTGTGAACAGCATCATGCACAAAGCCAAAAAGTAGAAACCACCCAAGGCCCATCATCTGATGAAAAAAAACAAATGTATGTATACAATGACATATTATTCATCCACAAAGAGGAATGGTATGTTAATTAATGCTGTAACATGGGTGAACCTTGAAAATATTTTGCTAAGGGACAGAAGTCCAATACAAAAGGCTGCATATTGTATGATTCCATTTGCAAGAAATGATCCTGATAGCCAAATCCACAGAAAGAAGGTAGACAGGGGTTGCCAGGAGAGGGGAAGAGAATTGGAGAATTCTCCACTAAACAAATAAAATTCATGGTTGAAACGTTACTGGGCTCTGCTGTCCCTCAGTTTGAATGCTTGTGCTCAAAAGATCAGGTTGCCCTTTCTTGTGGTAAGGAATGCATGAAGTAGTTGCTTTATCTTCAGCTCCATTAGGAGAGCTGTGTGCTTGAACACATCTCCAGGCCATGTGTTCTTGACGTATCAACTTGGTTTTTACAAATAATGTGTCATGAAAGCACAGATCTATAGGAGGCACAGAGTGGACCGTCAGTCCTTGGGGGTGTATGACGAGGATGGTGATGGGTAGAACCCCTGTGTTTGCTTCCTGAATGACCAATGGCAGGAAGTCACATGGAAATGCGTCAGCCTCAGCAAAATTAAATGTTGGTTAGCAGACGGCAACTGCCCCTTTCCCCCACAGATTTTTTTTTCCTTTCCTTGGTATCCATGGAGCAGATGTTTGTGTAGTGGGAGCTTATGGATCTTGATTTATCATCCTTAGGGATTTTTAGGGATTGCTATATTTTTCCGAGCTAAGGAAAGTGAATTGCGTGTTAAACAAAGTTAGTTGCATCATATGTACTTTTACTTAGAAAACTATAATTGCTGATTAGGGACAATGACAATGGTAAAACTATAAGAGAACTTCAAAAGTTCATGGAAATGGAATTAAAATAGTTTATTTCAAAAAAGTTGAAATCTGTATATAAAAAGACTTAAAAGCTCATGAAAAAAATGTCTGTCTTGAAAATAACTCTTTGGGGATTTCAAAGTTGCTTTGTAGAAAAATAAACCTATTTTAAATTCCGTTTGCCATGAACTTCTTGAAGAACCCTCATAGTAGAAATTACCATGTAGTATTTGCCATGTGCAAGATGCCCTACATTGGTTACCTCATTTTATCCTCAGAGTAAGATTGGGAGGTGGGTAATGTGATGGTCCCCATTTTATATGTAAGGAAACTGAGGTTCATGGCGCTTAAGTGAACTGACTCAAGGCCACATAACAAGGAAGTATTGGAGGTAGATTGCAAACCCAGGCCAGCTCACTGTAAACCTGGGAGAAGCTGAACCTGAATTCTATAGCTGAGCCCTTTAGCAGGAGTGATCTGTGAGACACCATGAACACCTGGCCTCCAACCCAGTTTCAGGGAAGGTATCATGGAGGTAGTGTGCTGGCTTCCATATCTACCCTTGGATGTTTGCAAATGCCACTTAGATGGGAGGGAGGAAAGCTTATTAGATGATTTCAGCATGCTCTCAGAGGGCATACGGCAGATTTGGAAAATGCAGCTTGAGATGGCAGTGGGAGAGCAAATTAAAAATTGAAGGGATGCCATGTAGTTTTCTAAGTCATTTGCTTTTTTTTCCAAAAAAATATAACTGGAACAAAAATTCTGTCATAGTAATGCCTCATCAATTTAAAATGAAAGTTTACCATGAGTTTGCTTTACTATTTAATTACTTTATTGTGCAGATCACTTTTCTTAGTATTATTGGTAAATTTTTAAATATCACTTCTGCATAACTCCTCTTCTTCTGAATCATATTTGGGTCATAAAAATGATACAATGACAACATAAATGAGTTCATATTAAATTATATTATTCTAAAGGATTGATATGGGTTATTATTTTATTACTTTTTTATTTGAAGGGCAAATTTAGAGAGAGTGGGAAAGACAGAGGGATATCTTACATCCTCTGGTTCACTCCTGAAATGGCTCCCATGGCCAGAGCTGAGCTGATCCAAAGCTGAAAGTCTGGAGATTCTTCTGGGTTTCTTACTTGGTGTTAGGACTCAAGGGCTTGAGCCATCCTCTACCACTTTCCCAGACTGTAGGCACGGGGCTGAATCAGAAGTGAAGCAATTGGGACTTGAACTGGCACCCCTAGAGGATGCTGACACTGCAAATGGAGGATTAGCCTGATATTCCATTGTGCTTGGGTTTTTTTCTTCTCAACATATGTGATGACTTTTTTATGATCATTTATCTCTTACAGCTAAACATAGGAAGACTTGGCAAAAACACCAGATGAAAGGCAGGAGATGAGCTCAGGGGCTTTAGGGAATTTGAGAACAGTTTGAGGGGAATGCTCCTGCACCTCCTTCTAAAAGTTTATGAAAAATGTGTGTATTGAAGAAATGATAATTGCCAGTTTCTTTGCAGCAAAATAAACTCATCTTTTAATTCCATTATTTCATAGACTTTGAAATAACCTCATATTATAGTTAAGATATTTCTGCATTCCAAGAAAGCTGGATGGTTCAACCCTGTTGCCAACTTTTACTGTCATCAATTTCGAAGGAAAAAGACAAAGTATGAATAAGGCATAGAGACAAGTGCTTAGCGCCACACACCTAAGCTGATCTTAGCAGTTTTTGTTACACAACTCAAATCAAACTTAGGACGAACACAGCTTTGCCTAGTGCTTAAGCTGCAGATTTGACAGTCAAACTGCCTGGGTTAGGATCAGCTCCACTACTTATCTGCTGGACCTTGAGTTACTCAAAATCTGAGTGCCTGCCTCAAAAGGGCTGTTAAAGAATAAATCGCTCTGTGTAAAAGCTTTAATAGTACTTGGCCAGCAAACATGAGTTATGTTAAAGGGATTGTATGTTATTGTGCCGCTTTTTGGCTTGGAGGAGGTCATCTTACCTATATTTCTTTTTCTTTGTTTCTTCCTTTCACTCTCTCTTTCTTTCTTTCCTCCTCCTTTTTAAATCCTCTCCCCGCTCCCCACCACATTTGAAAGTCTATCCTGTTGAGGTCTGCGTGGGCAACACGAACCCATACGTGTATGCTCCCATGCCTGGTGCGCACCATTATCAAGGAGAGGCTTCCGAGCTTTTGTACCTGACTTCTTTATTGTTGCTGGCTGGCAGTCATCCCCTGGCCTCCTTGCAAAAATAGCTGAATTTCATTAAAATTCAATCTCTCCTGATACCATCTCTGCTGGCTATGAGTAGAGACTGCTAGTGGCGGAGCTTTAGCAGCCTGATTAACAAGAGATTTGGGCTGGAATGCTCTGAGTACTCTAAAATGACCGATGACCAAGTTTCTGTCTGTGCCCACTTCCTGGGCCCTCTGCAGCCCATCTCATCCCCACGGGAAACTAAGCAAGGGTCCCTACTAAGCCAAGCTGCCTCGAGCTGGACACTGACATGCATTTGTCTTCCTGTTTCAGGTGTGCGTCCCCACTCCCGGGCCTTCTGCATGAATGACACTTGGGTCTGCCATGGAACCTGGCCCCACCCTGGCCTGGCTCCTGCTCCTGAGCCTGCTGGCCGACTGCCTGAAAGCTGCTCAGTCTCGAGACTTCACGGTCAAAGACATCATCTACCTCCATCCTTCAAGTAAGACCTTTGGTTTTCTTGGCTGCAGAGGTACCGATTTGCTTTGAATAAAACCTAGTTTGGAGAAACAGCCTGGAGAAAACCACCTTCAGTGCAGGGCAGGCCTCCTGCAATGTAACCGAGGGATACAGCAGTTAACCAAAGATGCTTTCTCTGTTATCCTGACATTCTTGCAGGGTTTGTTTTATATAGTCTTACTGTTAGACGTGTTCTCTCTGTTCCCCACACAATCATTCTAATTCTGAATGTCCGTCTCTCTTACTCATGCCAGCCCTCAGTCATCAAAGTAGACCGCCATGTCCCATGGGGAGGATTGTTTGTAATAGATCAATCCTTCATCGGTAAGATAATAGCTGGCCTTCCTCTCTTTGCATCTAATTTTCAGTTCCAGCCTAATTGCCTTCCACAACTTCCTACTCCCTGTGTTTTTTCATTTCCTGTGTTTAAGAATGATCTAGGGAGTGCACAGTAGTGTAAAAGTCCAGATCCCCACCCTTGAGTTTCTGAATTGCATGTACCTGGGGCTGTGGATTTCTGCTCTTACCTACAACTTCTGCTGCTGCTACCCTAAGAGTCCCATTTTGGGGAAACATAGCGGTTGATCTTGCTCTTCTGGTTTCCATCTCTGTATTGATCTTGCTTCTCTTATTTCTATTTGAATCTTTTGTGAGACCCCATGCTGAGATTGGTAGCTGGCTATTTTTTATGCATTCTGACCTTTAACTGTTGCCTGGGGTCCATTCCTCCTGAAATGTTCTGCTCAGCAAGTATTATTGAAGCATCCATTGTGTGCCCGGCATTGTGATTAGCATGAAAGGTACATGAGCAAAATGCCTTGCGTTTGAGGATCATAGAACCGACCAAGAGGAGGGCCATGACAGGGATTCTTTGAAATCTTGAATGTCCACACCTTCTGGTTTACAGATGGTAAAGGGGACCCACTGGTGTTGGGCATCCACCTGACCCTGGATTTGCAACCAGTTAGTTCAGTTGCTTTGTAGCCTTTTGACTTAAGTTTTTTAGATTTCTAAAGATTAAATAAAATATTGTACTGGAAGACATGTTAGAGGAATCTTTTCCTTTTGATTTTGATTTTCTAGTTTAGGGGGAGAGAGAGTGAGAGAAACTCTCAGCTACTAGTTCATTCCCCAAATGTATGCAGTGATCCCCTGCCAAGCCAGGCTGAAACCAGAACCTCAATCTTGGCATCCCATAGGAGAGGCAGTAACGTGAGATGGCTGGGCCAAGTTCTAATTTCCTACACAAGACACAATTCAAAGAAAGACAAGAAGTAGTAAAGATTAGCAGAGGGGGCCTGGCGGGATAGCATAGCAGCTAAAGTCTTCGCCTTTCACGCTCCGGAATCCCATATGGGCACCAGTTCTAATCCCAGCAGCCCTGCTTCCCATCCAACTCCCTGCTTGTAGCCTGGGAAACCAGCTGAGGATGGCCCAAAGCCTTGGGACCCTGCACCCACGTGGGAGACCTGGAAGAGCTCCTGGCGGCAGGCTTCGGATTGGCTCAGCTCCAGTCATTGTGGTCACTTGGGGAGTGAATCATCGGATGGAAGATCTTATTCTCTGTCTCTCTTCCTTTTAGTATATCTGCCTTTTCAGTAAAAATAAATACATCTTTGAAAAAGAAGATTAGCAGAGGAATAAGATTCTTTTGCCTATACCGCAAAAGAGTACAAAGATGAATTATACTCAATGAGGTTCAGGGCTGTCATTCTATATGTTCTGGAGGCATAGCAAGTCAGTTCTGGGGGTGAGGTTTAATTGAATATTCATAGGAGCAGAGTTTGGGGGCAGGATTTGACTGATATCAAAATTCTTGCCCTTTCTGGGAAATCTTGGACATATTCTGCCACTAGGTACATGATAGGAGCAGGAGTGTCAGCCATGCTAATTTTGCTAAAATGCTGTTACAATTATCTGAAGGTCACTACTGGGACACATTTGACTTCTATATTGGTTATTTTTGGCTGCCATCAATTCTGAGCAGCAGTTTTGTGGAAACAGTGGTTTTTTGCACCAAAAAAAGGGCAAGGTTTGGGTAGAGCAGATAAGATTGTTGGGAGGGGCTAGCGACCTCCAGTCTTCCTTGCTAGCTAGCTCCTTGTCTGTGTCAGAAGGATGTTGATTCCTGAGCCATAGCCTGTTGCCTGAGGAAGTCAGGAACCAGAGCAAGGTATAGAACTTTCTTGAGGCATGTGGGCACTTTATCCATCATCTCAACCGCTAAGCCATATGTCAGCCCCTAAATATGCCTTTGATGGGCAACATAGAATGTGTGTGGATTTATTCCTGAAGATTCTCTCACCAGTACAATCTGATGTCTTCAGGACAACTGTATGGAAAACTTACCTATCTGCTCTTCTTTTGGTACTTCTTGCTTTGATAATCTCTGGGATACTTGCTATGTTTTTCTAGATGCATTTGTTCTTTTATCCATTAGACTTCCAGCTCTTAGGGTTGATGGCTAAGATTTTGGCTTCTGTGCCATTCTTTGAGAACTGGGAGAGGTCTAGTAGTCACTGCTGTGAGGCAGGTCCACTGTTATCCTTCTCTGTGGTTGCTTACCTGGAGTAGGAAGGAGGCAGGAGGTCACTGGATTCAAACAAACCAAGACAAAACCCAGCTTCCACTTTAGTAGGGTGGTGCTTCTCGTCCAAGTTGAGCAGGCCTCATTTTGGAAAGTTGATTTCAGATTGGGGTCTTTGAAGGGTGTTGGGCCACAGAAGTTGCTCTTTGGAAGCAGTTGACAGGGTTCTGCTTGTGTAACCAGTGTTCATTAAAATGAAGGTACTTCAGAAAGGTTGTGGAATAGGGGACTTTTAAAAAAAAATGTATGTTGTTGCCGAAGAAGTTTAGAACCCATGCAGAGTTTTCATTTTACATATTTTCCATGAACTTTTGAACCACGGCCTGCTTGGAAGGAACTCACCACAAATAACAGAAGATTGCATTTGTAGCATTTTCAATTATGATTTTGAAATACAGAGAAGGAAGTTCTGCCTAAACTTTAGTGAGAAGTAGGTGATTGTTCCACCTGAGAAAATCTGTCTTTTCTTTCTAGTTGAAAATCAAAGTTCCAGAAAAATTAGGAGACACACACACACATACACGAAGAGAAAGAGAGGGAGAAAGAAGATGGAGAGAAAGAAATATTTGTCTGCTGGTTCATTCCGCAAATGGCTACAATAGCAAGGGCTGGACCATGTTGAAACCAGGAGTCAGGAGCTTCTTCTTGGTCTCCCAAATGAGTTGCAGAGCCCTAGCTAGTTGCAGAGTTATCTTCTGCTGCTTTTCCCAATCCTTTCACATGGAGCTGGATGAGAAGTGGAGCAGCTGGGTCACAAACCTGTATGCATAAAGGATGCTGGGCTTGTGGGTGGTGCGTTCACCCACTGTGTCACCTGCTGGAGCCAGATCTGCAAGTTCTGACCTACAGGGTTACCATCATGGATCATGGAAAGGATAAATTCTTACTGAAGTTACCATGGTTGTCTCCTACTTGGCCAAGACTTTGTTCTGCCACTTGAAATCTGAGTTAGCTCTCCAATTCTCTCAGCTATTTTAGAGGTTGGTGGTTATGTTTATTTTTGCACTTCGATTGTTTAAATAGCATGGTCCTGTGCCCTTGAGCACTAAACTATGTTTAGATTGCATGATCTTCCACAAAGAGACAGGTTTCTGTTGAACATAAACCATAAAAAATATATGAGGCATGCACTGGACTAGTATGATGTTGAATTATTTATATAATCACGTCACTTTGTAGACAAAGGCACAAACAACTTTCCTTGGGGTCAGTGCATGAGCCAGCTTCAATTAACGTTACATAGAGAAGCTCAGACTGTTTAAGGAGAAATGTAGTAATCGAAGTGGGAGAAGGTATACAAGTTTTCTACCCAAGACAAACATGAACTCATTTCCCTTGGTTCAGGAACACATATCATTGATAATAACTGCAGTGAGATTGGAACCCAGATTGAGAAAATTCAACCCCCCGTGACTAATCTCTGCTGTCTTATTCTCTCATCTTTAAAGTTCTTAAGCCTTTCAAAGAAATAGTTTTATGGCTTTCAAACTTGAGACACTATCGTCAATATAATTTATATATGGTTTTTTTTCTACCTTTTTTTCAGGTAAAAATGATGAATTTCTTTCCAAATTGTGACTAAGACACTGATGTCTAGTATAAACCTTCTAAACAAGAGTTATCATTTGGAAAAATGGGGCTATTATTTAGTTGCCAATTAGTACATCAGATACTAGGCTTTAGCAAACTAAAGGAACACAAACCGCCCTTGGACTCTATTTCTCTTAGAATAGAAACTTTTCCAGTTTTCTCCATTTGCATGTTTTGAGGTTTTTTTTTTTTTTTAATCAAGTGCACCAAAGTGCTAAATCCATACAGGGGGCTTGACTTGGTCATTCTCAGAAAGAAAACCAACTAAATATATACTCAACCATAAACTATCTAAGCGTATGAGAGTAAAGGGACTTTTTAAGATAGGTACCAGAAAAATAGCATTTGTGTCAGAAATATGTTCTTATCAAAACTGATTGGCAAGTTTTTGTTGCCAAGTGGACTGAGAAATAAATTTATTAGATTTCTAAATACTTTATGTTCATGTATGCTTTCCAGAAGCAATATAAATTAATTTGGCAAGAAGAGAAAAAAGATTTTTTGATGCATACATTTCAAGGCAAGTCTGCATATGTTTCAAGGCAAGTCTGTTCTCACCACGTTTTCAAAACTGAAGGCCTTTGTCCAGGCAAAAGCTCCAAGAGATGGAAACAAAGACGAAATCTTTTCTGATACCCTTACAAATGAATTATGGTAGGCTGAACTACGGCTGACCGTGAGAGTTAATGGACAGATTATTTTACAGGAAGTAACTGGGCACTTTTTTTTTCTTTACAATCACCTTGTCTTGAGGGACCAAGGACTTAGGTCCTGAAATATAGAGGACTAAGCTTATTAACTCTGTGATCAAGAGCCAAATTAGATTCATTCACAGCTGAGGCCACGAGTTGCAAAACTCTGCTTGCTCTGCAGTGCTTTGAAGTAACAAAGAAGAAAATGGCACATCTTTTACAAAACTCTTTCTGTCCTTTAAAAAAAAGATCTCTTTATCAGATGTAGTATCAATTAACAAGCTAGTGGAGATCATTTTTCATTTGTAGCCTCCATGTTAGGCTAAATATTTCCAGAAGGAAGAATTTAACCTTTTACTTGGCATTGTGCTACAATTAGCCACTTAAAGCTGAGTATGTTTGCAGAGATTTATCACTTATCAGAGTGTGATTATTCACTGGCCAGTACCACCTGTCATGTGGTCATAAATATTCCTATAAGCAAATTATACTGTAGCTATTGTGAATGTACACAGACATGCGGCTTCAGATTTTAAAATAAGGCTCACCCAAATGAGATCATTTGGTTAATTGCCAATAATATGTGCTGACAAACTCATTCAGAGACAAATGGTTTAAACTAAAGGTTAATTAGTCTCAGTGTGTAAGCTTGTACTTGTGTGTAAGCTTTGATATGAATACTTTGGGTTAATTTCAGAATCTGAGCTTACTTATGTAAGAAGTGGCAGTATTAAATTTAGTATGTCACTATTCTTGCACAAGATCATTTTGAAAAGTCTATTAAATAATCCAAGTTTGGGAACACTGCAGCTTATTAGTGGTAGATTCCCAGTTTGTTCTTGGAACAGTTGGATCGTCAATCTTCATTCAAAGTTCTTAATTTATCTCTTTGATGGGAAAGTTTCCAGGAATAACCAATGCAACATTCCAGCCAATTTTTTTTACTGGCTGCAGTGACAGACAGATAAAATTGGATGCTCAGAAGAATTAATCATATGAAATGAAGTAATGTACTTAGCTTGCAGTCATAAACCTTGGTGACTATGATGATTTTTTTTTTTTTTGAGAAATACTGTTCATTGACAAATCCTTTTTACCCCCAAAACCTCATTTACAAGCTGTTTTTTCAAGTTTCATATTTTAAAATTGTTTATATAGTAACAATATAGTTTAACAATATATAGTTTAACAATAACAGGCAAGCTATTTTAAAATGTACACAATCAAGACAATTTGCTGAAAAAACTTTGAATGGTTTTTCTGAGGATATTTCTAAAAAATAGCTAATTAAGACAGCTACAAGAATGTTAAATAGGTTTGAAAATTGCGAATTCTCTTGCGTTAAATTCCTTAGATGTGTACTTCATTAAATGTGATCTTTTCCATTCCAGCATCACCTACTTTCTGAAATAGTGAGATGTGAAGACAGATGAAAGTACTTCAAAAACCTGATAGAAAGATACAATTAAAAGATAACTTTTTTGATGCAAAAAAATGAAATCCTTGCACATTTTTTCATAACCCACGTTTTCCAGTAAGTTTTTGAAGGCCCTGGGTACACATGGGTTTCAATTTTTTTAACCAAATAAAGTTGGCCTTTCATTCCATTTTCCACAAACTGTTTGATGGGTCACAATATTTGTGTGTTTCTAAAAGGACTGGTTTCATCGTAGTTATATGACAGACAAGTATTTTCTTCAGAGATAAGTTTCTTCGTTGGAATGAGGTGATTGGATGTCTGTGTAGCAACTGCTCGCTATCATTTTCTACGAGGGCCCATGCATTTGCTCTATTCCTTTTATGACTGTGCATCACTAGCCACTTGGAGGGACATAGAACTCTCAAATGGTCCCATGTAAAAGTGCAGTTACTCATCTTTTTTAGACAGTTTATGACTGTTGATCATACTGTATTTTGTCACAGTGAGCAATGTGACGTATTATAAGCAAATGCATGGAGGAGCAGCTATTGTGGACAAGGTGAAAATCAAAGTTATATCTGGCCCATAATTCTGGCCTTAAGCTGCTGCCTCCTCCTTCATTTATTTTGGATAACATACTTAATTGGTTCCATGTGGGCAAAGCAATTTACCCTGAGATGATTATTTCCACCAGTGGGATAATGCAGGCTCAGCCATCTGCAAGGAGAGCAGTTGGTTTCTGTAGATGAAGTGTTTGAGTGTCTGCATCTTTCAAATAGGCCAGGTAATTTCACAAATTAAAAAAAAAAAACCTAAAGTTTGTTTATGGAAAGCAGAACTCTAAATAGTAAGACAAGCACATGATTAGAGCAAAGAAGCAATTAAAAGCACATTGGTGAACAGGACAGAGACTTCTGTTGATCGTTGTCTGTCCACTGGCAAAGGGCCTGGGAGTGCTGGGTACCATCCAGTGTGTGGCGCACCTGTGGCACCTTCACACTTGAATGAAGAATACGAGGACCTGGTGGACAGTCTCTCCAGAGGACATGGAGAGTTGGTAGCAAAGAGAGGAACTTGCTAGAATTTCACACACACACGAATCATTCCTAACCTTTGGCAAAAAAATTTTTTTGTTGTTTGTTTATTTTTCTTTATGTACATAATACCATTTGGTATATAAACTTGTGGAATTGGCTCTTTCATTTAGAACAATTATCTGGAAATATATCTGAGTTGTTCAGTATATGAAGAGTCCATTCCTTTCCCTTGATGACTGGAATTCCATAGTGTGACTATGTCACTGTGCAACCACTCCATCCTGAAGGACATTTGGCTGGTCTTTAGGTTTGTGCCCATGGAACTAATGTTCTTGTGGGCATTTGATTACAGATTTTGCAATAAAGACAGGTGTTTCTCTATTAGCAGAGGAAAACCCAAGGATGAAATTTTTCTGTTATGTAGACGCTAAATGGTTAGTTTTGCTGTTGTTGTTTGGAAACTGATGGGTTCTCCTGAGAATACTTTTAAAAGTCTGAAAAGGTCTATGGGTTTCTGTGTTCAGTCTGAAAAGTCTTTTCTCTTGATCCCCTTTGTAGCCACACCATATCCTGGAGGATTTAAATGTTTCACCTGTGAAAAGGCAGCTGACAATTATGAATGCAACCGATGGGCGCCGGACATCTATTGCCCTCGAGGTAAGCTCTCAGTCAGATTGGGGTCCTGGAGCTAGCCACAAGGGAACAACAGCCCTGTAGACCTTCGTGCATGCTTGCAATCTTAACTGCTCCTCTTCTCTAAGGCTACTAGTAGAACTTTTTCTTTTATCGCACTAATAATTTATCATCAAAGACTCTCAGAGGCATAAACTGACCCATAGGATTACCCCTTTTCTCATGAAATATCTTTAGAGCTCTATAGGAAGTAAGTGCTGCTTCCCCCTAGGCCCAGCCAAATGTAGATCAGAAAGAGAATGGCTGCCTGTTTACCATCCTTTGAAGGATTAGTTGCTACATAGTAGCCTCTTTCATGTAAAGAATGAATCAATACTCATATAAAGATTCCACTTATTGCATATTTTGCCGGAGACTTCTATCCTGGTATTGCCTGAAAGCTTGAATTCTAAATGTCATCATTGCACAAATGAAAACTCTGAAGTTCTTAAACTATTAAGTTCTCTTTGAAGGATGAGATAGAAGCATGATTGAAGCAAGAAGTTTTGACCCAAAGGTCCATTTTAAAATGAAGAACCATCAAGTTCAAATCTCTTTTATCCTATGGAATAAAAAGGATGGGTATATTTAGCTGTGGAGTCACTGTTAATTGGCTATTTTATTTTGGTGAAAATTTGCTTCTTTTGCTGGGGCTATATGAGGACAGGGCAGTTTTGAATGCATGGTCAGTGTGCCTTGCTGCTAATTGAATTCTGTTGTTCAAATGACTGGTCACACCAACAGCAAATTCAGCACTTCCCACAGTGAGGCCAGAGCTCCCACCCAAGGAATGGTGCACTGTTGAATTAAGAGACATAGATACCACAATGAAAAGGTAGATATCAGGCATGCAAGCCTGGACAGTTTATGCCAGAATCTCAACATGGGAGTTGGACCAGTGGAAGCACTGTGAAATGCTTCCGAGTCACAGAAAAACAGTGCTAAAGTCAGTGGTTCTCCAGTTTCAGTGTGATTTGCCTTTCCTGGAAGGTTATTAAACAGATGTCTTCTGCTACCCCACCCCTTAACTCCCCCAGTGGCTCTGAGATGGGCCCAAAGGATTTGCACTTGTACAACATTCCCAGACAATGCAGAGGCTGCTGGTCTGGAGACTACCAATCAAGAACCACAGCTCTGCATACCTTGAAAACAAGCATCTCAGCAATCAAGATCTTGCTTTTCTATGTTAAAATATCCTAGGTGATTACAATGAGCACTTGAAGGCGAGAAGCACTGGGGACCCCTCTACCCACTTCACAGGGAAGTGTGGTGTTGCCATTTCTAGATTCCTTTGGTTTCAATTTTAGGTAGAGCTGTTAATGGAGTCCCAAGGATCACAGAGCAGAGAAAAAATGGAGACGCACTGAAATGGCTTAGGCACCAACCACCATACTAATCAGAGTAAAATCCTGTTCAGGTTGCCTACTGATGTCACCGTTCCTTTCCAAAGCATTGTTTCCTAAGATGGCACCTACAGGATGAAAGTTTACATTCCAGATGCACCCAACTGCACATTTGCTTCTCAAGCATAGCTGCACATTGAAATCACCTGGTAGAGTTTGAAACCACTGGAGCCTGGATTCATGCTCAAAGATTCATATTTAACTGGCATGGGGTGTAACTAAGCAGAAGTAGTTTACAAAGCTCCCCAGGTGGTTATCATGTGCAGCCAAGTTTGGGAATTATTGTCAACAGTGGCTCTAAACAAAAGCAACACAATCCATTTATACCTCTAGTAACCTGATTCCTACTGGCCTATTAGCTTTTGAAACTCTTGCCACAGGTCAGTTAGTGTACAGGAAGCATCTAAATTTGTGCCTAGACTCAGTGATTCATAAACCCTTAAAATTCATTTTTCACGCTTTTGGAGTCTGGGATGTTTGAGATCAAGAGGCCATCAGGCTCATTACATAAGGGGCACTTCATCTCTCTGCATCTAAGATGACACTTTGTCAGTACCTCACATAGAGCACAGAGGGCAGAAGAAGAGAATGAGCCCACTCCTTCAGTGGTTTTAATAAGGGTCCTAGTTCCATTCCTGAGAGATCTGCCATCATAACTTCACCACCACTTAAAGGCCCCAACTCTTTTTGTACATATGTACACATTTGTGCGTAGATTCTTGGAGGGATGGAGCCTGCTCAGTCCACGACAGAATGTGACTATTCTTCCTTTGGCAATGACTTAGCTCTGAGATGTGTTAGCCAAGATGATGTCAAGCAAAGGAGGGCTGCGGGTGCTGGGATATATTCCACAGAGGCTCAGTCTATGTCTAATGATACAAGCGTACTTCAGAAAGTTCATGAGAAACATGAAATGAAAACAGTGCACTTATTTTCCATGAACTTGTTGAAGTGTGCTTGGACACGTCTATTCCTGTCGCAAAGAAGAAGCAAGTGATCAGAAGCCCTCTGCTGGATGCCACTCAAGGAAAACAAATTCAACCCTGATGCTTTCTTTTGAGGCCAAAAATACAGAGTCCTAAAAGTATTCCAGAATGGTCTTTTACACTCTTATCCTTTTTCCTCTTCACACCCTCCATTTTCCTCTGTGTGTCTTTAAATGTATAGAGATCAAGAGAAAGGTAAGCATTGAAGCTCAAGATACAGAGCAACTGTGTCAGGCCCTTGGAGGATTACATAGTGAAAGATAGGAATCTGGTTTCTCCTTTCAGGCTCAAGCAGTTTAGTCAAGGAGGTAGGATCTGAACAGATCACTGTCAGAGACGACAGGACAAACGTGAGGGTCAAATGGACCTCTTGGTGGAAGCATTTGATTTAAGTGCTGTGGGAGTTGAAGGGGAGAAGGGCTAACTGTGGCGTAAGTGGCTAAGGAAAGCTTTGTGTGCTGAGGTAGATGGAAGCCTTGCAACTGGAAATAGATTTGCTTACTTACTTGCTTGTTTGCTTTTTAGAAGATCAAAGAGTTTCTTCCCAAAGCCAAAGTGAGTGCCTCAGTCTAGAACTGTGTGTATTGGCTGCTTCACAAGATCCTATTGGTTATAAGTCTTGTACTTTTCTTATAGGGCTAGTAAATGCATTGAGTCAGACTAAACAAGACGTATGTGTGTCATGGTTATCAGTACATTGAAAAAAAACACCAAAAAGGCTGGTTATCAAGATCTACTACATTCCCATTATCCAGTACTATTTATATGCACAGAGAGGCAAAACAGTTGGGTTCTTGGTCATTCAGATAATGAGGAGGTAGATCATTTTCTTACAGTGGCTGCACATTTATTCCTCTTATAGTTTGCAGCAGGTATTTTCTGAGTTACAGTTCAAGTTTGTTGAAATGCCATGCTAAATCCATGGATCAGACAGAAGGGTGTTTTCACAGCATGAATAGAGTCTTGGTTGACTTGAGCCTCAGCAGTCGCCTTACCCACTTGGAAGTCCACAATATTTTTTTCTAATTTTTGATAAGCTTATTCTAATTACCCTTCAGCACCATCCATCATCACTATTCTGAATACTGGGAATGGATTTAGGACATTGAGAAAAGCACCCTTTTCAGGATGCCACTAAGAACAAAGGCATGGAGCAAGGAGCCCTCAGGTGCAAGCAGGGGATAGGAAGACACCTGACCTGGGGTTACTGACCTGTTTGCATTAGAGAATACTCAGAGCCAAATGATGGAATCAAGTTGGGGTTGTTTTTTTTTTTTTGTAACCTTGAGTAGCAGGTAGTGGGTGGGAACTGTAAGCTATAACTTCAGAACATCTTATATAGAGCCACCTGCTCCACCTTTCTTATTTCCCAAGAATCTTCTGTTCTTCCCTCTGGTCTTCCTGCAGGTTTTTCTAGCAATGGACAATACAGTCATTTTATTATTATGTTAGCATAAAAATCCATCCAGTAACCTCAGATTTGCTTATTCTGTTTATCATTAATTGGAACAGTTTTAGTGGACAGCTCAGAAGCTATGATAGGAAGACATACTGATTTTCTGAGATAGTCTTGATTTTGTGTTTGTTTTTGTGACCCATTTAGCTTGATTTTATTCATCATGTTATCAAAAGTTTGGTCTGTATCTAGTCAGGTCAAAATGAGGACAAGGTTTGAAGTTCAAGGAAAGAGAAATTTTGACTTGTCAACAGATGAGGCGGTAGCAGACTACTGAATCTCAAGAACTGCTCCCTGCTGAAGGAGGCTGTTTTGGGGTTTTTAAGCAGGCCACAAGAAAGGAGAAGTCAGGGATGAGGGGAACAAAGGCTAGAACAACTGCATGTTGGCCTCCCTCCGGATGATAATGATGTTAAAATGATAGTGGTTATCTGGTCTGAAAACCTGTTCATCTCATGTCTGAGTTTCAGTTTTGTGCCCAAAACTATATGCTCCAAGGAATATTTATGATGGCCAAGTGTGCTTTAGTACATGGGGGGCCACAGGCAAGTGGTTCTTTCTGCCCCAGATATAGAATTCTTGTAAACAAACCCTTCAAGACAACACTGGTCATCAAAGTGGCCTTGTGAGTCTGGTGATTAGAGTCTTGAAGGGTCAGTTGGGCTACTCCAATAAGTTGGTGATTGAAGCTAGGGGAAGTTGGTTGAGAGACTAGGGCTTAAAGTCTTGAGTATCTTCATTCAAGAAACTGAGGGCTTTGCTTGTGTCACATGATGAGAAAAGAATTGATTGAAAGTGAAAAAATACTCATAAACATTTTATCTGATCTTTATGGGATAAACTCTCACATCAGATTGCTTAGGGACCAGATGAAGTTCAAAAGTTTTTGAAAGGTCTATTCAGTCTCACTAATGTTGGAAAGAGAATGCTATGGTATATCTTAGTGGCTGATGCTTACAGACTCAATAGTCTTGTGAACCACTATTTGCTTGAAAATGTCAAGAAAGCCCTGCCCTGGCTGGACTCATTCCTGAGGCAATGGGGCATCAGCTTCTGCTCTGTTCCTCTCTTTCAGAAAGTGCTACTAAGTCCTTCCTCCTCCATGACGTTTATTTTTGCCTCTGGTGTACAAAGATTTTG